AGCAGCAGCAGCAGCAGCAGCAGCAGCGGCGGCAGCTAGCGGCGGCAGCATCATCAGCAGGCACACGCGGCGGGCGGCGCTAGCGCGATTGCGGAGTACGAAACGGCATGGCCGCCGGTGCTTGACTTGACGCTCGAATGTCGTGTGCGCACGTTCGTACCTCTTTCTTCTCTCCACCGTACCTCCCCATCCTCTGCACAAGTCGCTCGCAGGCAAGGCAGGCAGGCCTGCGCTGCTCTTCCTCAACCACCATCATCCCTGCACACCCACAGCGCGCCCTTCGACATGTTCTCCCTCGTCCGCCTTGTAGCCCTAGCGGTCACGCTGGCTCACCTGCCCCTGCTCATTGCAGCGTGCGGCGGTGATCACGCAGCGCTGGAACGACGCTCGGACCGTATGGCCACACAGCCGAGCGGAGGCACAAGCTTGCTCAGACCCTTGACTTGGGGCGATGTCGTCATCGTAGCCACCACCGACATTCACGGCTGGTATCAGGGTCACCTAAAGGCGAGTCAGCCTGAGCCAAACTACTCTGGCGATTGGGGAGACTTTGCCAGCTTCGTCACTCGTGAGTTTGCACTCGGTGCTGCTGTGACTGTGCCGGCCTTGTTGCTGATAAAGTCCACCGCGCGCGCTTGCGCGCGCGCGCTCGCACAGACGTGCGAGCCAAGGCGCTGCTGCGTGGAGTGGATCTGTTGGTGGTGGACAGCGGGGATCTGCATGATGGCGCAGGATTGTCGGACGGCTACCCCGCGGGACAAGGGCCCGACGCGCACGTCTCCAACCAGTTCCACAGTCTGGTCGACTTTGACGTCTTGGCCGTCGGCAATCACGAGCTGTACGTGTACGAGAATGCTCTCGACACGTACAAGAACTTTGTGCCCGCCCAGCACGGTCGATACCTCGCATCCAACGTCAACATCACGCTGCCCCAAAGTTCAGCTCCTGGCGCAAAGAACGTCTCTGTGCCCATGGGCGAGCGCGTGGTCAAGTTCCGCACACCCTTGCACAAGCGCAAAGTGACCAGTCTCGGTGTGCTGTTCGACTTTACTGGCGCAGATGCTGGATTGACGGTGCAAAACCCTTCGGACATGGTCAAGGAGGCCTGGTTCAAGCAAGCCATCCAAGATCCACCAGACTTTTTCCTCCTCGTCGGTCACATGCCCGTCCGGCGAGACCAGTGGCCAGAGGTTATTGCCCCTATTCGAGCACTTCACCCCACCACGCCAATCTTGATCGCCGGTGGTCACACTCACATTCGCGATGCCGTCAAGTACGATGACAATGCCGTCGGCATCGAGAGCGGTCGCTACCTCGAAACCATTGGCTGGCTCGCTGCAAATCTGACCGACACGGGCAAGACTTCCTTTTCGCGCTCGTACATTGATGCCAACCGTCGCAACTATGCTTTCCATGCCGGTCTGTCCAGTCCCAAATTTGGCTTTGACACGCCCAAAGGTGTCTTGATCACCGCCAAGATGGGCAAGGTTGCACGGGATTGGAATCTGACACAAGGTACGTTTGTGATGTGTGATGTGCGGGCCTAGAGCCGAGTAGTCTTCTTGACATGCCCTCCTCCCTGCAGTATACGGCAACGCTCCGCAAGACTACTACCTCGATCGAGTCGCCCCCTCGTCAGAGTCCAGCCTACTCAACCTGCTCTCTAACAAGGTGCTCCCCACCGTCGTATCCACCTCCAACCCATCTCGCGCATCCACGCCAAACTTTGTCATTGCCAACTCGGGCTCCCAGCGCTTCGACGTGTACAAGGGACCATTCACAAAGAATGACCAGGTGAGTGCGCGTGCGCGTGCGCGTGCTCGTGCTCGGGCGCGTGCTCGTGCGCTGCAGTCCTGACATCGCCCGCGCACCATCCACAGTACATCGTGTCACCATTCAAGGACGCCTTTCTCTACATTAAGGATGTGCCATACCAATACGCCTCGCAAATCATTCACAAGCTCAATCGGGACCCCGTCGCAGGTGCAGCATCGAAACGAGAGGCGGATGTAAACGTCGCCTCCTCCTCCTCGTCAGCGCCGCCACGCTCAGCAGATGCCGACGTTCATCGCATCTTTGACGATTGGGGCAAGAAGCAGCACGAGCTTGCGCAGGCTGATCTCGCCAGGCTCGATCAGCGCGCAGCTGAGCGTCGAGCTGATAGCCCGACGTTGGGTTACGTCACGCACGATGATCTCGGAAACGACGGCGACGATACAGTCGTGCGTATCCCGATACCCCAATCACGTGGATCGGATTTCGCATGCTTCGAGGCTGACATCTTTGCTACACCCCCTCGCCCCGGCACAGCACACTGCCCTTCCATTCGCTTCTTCACCAGACTATGTAGCGTCGCCCTTGACAGGTAACGCGACCGCGGCAATGCCCGACAGTGAGTGCGCGCGCGCGAATGCGAGAAAGATGGCCGGGCCCTCTTTCCGTTCGAACAACTGACATGCCCGCCTGCGCGCGGCGCGCCTCTGCAGCGCTCGTCGACGTCATTCTCGTCGACTTTATCCTCAGCTCCGTCGTTCGCATCCTCAACTCGCTTCAGACTGCCAAAAAGTACGCCAATTCGGACGCGACGGCGTACAATAGCCTCACCACGCAAGACCTATACCCACTGTACGCTCAAAAGGCGTGGCAGTAGCAGCAAGTGCTTCCTAACACCGCCCGCGTCTTTTCTTCTCTCCGCCTTTGCTGACATTCTTCGCCTTCGCCGAAAGCGTACTCGTTTGCTCTCCTCTTCGCACCTTTGTATCACTGCACATCTCTAATGAAATGGTTTGCAAATGCATGCGAATCGGAACGCTGCATCGTCGACATCCTTGAGCAGCGTCACTAGAAGGTGTATGTTTCAAAAGCCGAATCGTGTATGTGAAATGTCGTGCGCATTGCTGCGCTGCGAGGGAGTATGAAATGAAACGGTGCATGCGCGGACGCAGCGCAGCGCAGCGCATTCCCCATCATCCTCCGCTGACAGGAGTAATGGGAGCCACGCGTTCTCCACCATTCAACAAAGTGCTCGCAAGGCCATCCTCATCCACCATTTCCTCGTTCACGCTCCACCTAGCCGATTGCAAGATGCGCTGCAGCGCTTCCACATCGGGCGTCGTGTGCGCGTCAGATTTGCTCTCGGCCAGTGCCGCCTTTCGTTCGAGCAGGATCAGACCGGCCAATTCCGACAGGGGAAAGCCAGCGCGGCGGGGCAGGTATAATTGAAGCTCCGAAGAGCCTGCAGCATCGCGCGCCGAGGCAAAAAAGAGGACGGAGATGGGTTTGCTGGGAGAAGAAGCTGGCTTGCTGCCATTTGCGACCATCGTCGGCTCGCCCGCTTGCTTGCCATCTGGGGTCGTCGTACTGCTACGGTCGCCCGCAACCCCCGCTTCCGCCTTTTGCGATGCGGACGTCTGCTGCAGCGTCGTGATCTGCGCAGCATCGTCTTGCGCGTCTTTTGCTCCAGAGACGCCTGCCACCACGGCATCAGGAGAAGAGCTTTCGCTCGTAGCTGCCGCTGCTGCCTTTGCCTCTTCCTCCTTCCGCAGAGCTTCTTGTCGCGCAGTGTGATGTTCTGCTCTGTGCTGAAGCGCAGTAGCAAAGGCGGTCGCTCCACTAGCCATGCCAGTCGAAATCTGCGCCGCAATGCCATGCAGATCTCGCTGGGCATGATGGTCTTGCTGTTTCTTTTGCGTCGGAGCTCGTTTCAAGCTGCCGTCCGCTCTCGCGGTCGCGGTCGCGGCCGCAGTCTTGTCATTCTTTTCCTTCTTCTCCCGCCTCTCAAACAGCAAAGAGGGCGTTCCGGGTCTGCTGGAATCTTTGTGCTTCCTCAAGCTGTCAAAGAAGCTTCGCGCGCCACTCGGCTTGCGCTTGGGCGAAGAAGCAGACACGCTCGTATCCGTCGTCCCTTGCGTGCCCACTCGACTGGGCGTCGCTGTAGACGCAGAAACAGTTGCAATCTCGTCGTCTTCCGCAACAGGCGACGTCATCGCGACGTGCTGCGAAAAGTTGCGATCGATGGGGCTCCTCGACAGTTGCTCAGTGGGTGTGACGAAGCGCTCGACTGGACGAAAGCCGGTCGGTGTCTTTGGCTCAGCGCCTGGTGTCGCGTATCCATTGGCAGTCTGGAAGCGCTCTAGCGACTCCTTTGGATCTTCGGGTCCAAGACCCGGCGCTTCTTGATGCTCGGCGACCGGTTGCCCAAGGCTGCGAGCGTCGCTGCTCTTGATTGCTGCGTCGCGCGCTTCCTGCCCGCTGTTGCCCGCGCGAGAGGCAGTCCCTACAGCAGCTTCGACGTGCTCCTTGGTCTCGTCCGGCTCAGTACTAGCCTTTCTGATCGCTGCCAAGTCCTTTTTATTAAAGGGCGCTTCCTTGTCGTCTCCACCCAAAATGACCCATTCCGAAGCGCCGACTTCTGAATTGCACACCTCTTTGAAGCGCCGCATCATCTGCTCTCGCCTTTCGTCGCAAGTCTTGACCAGATCTGGCCAGTACGCATCGTGGTTGTACTTGGGATCCAGCGTGCCACCAAAGTCGGCGCTCAACTGCTCCGAGGGGACTTCGTCCTTGATGGCTTCATCGAATTTGCACTTGCTCTTCGTGACGGGGTCGATGAAAGGCTGGATCGCGCTCCAGAAAGCTTTGAAAATCCAAGGCACTGCGGACGTGGACGCGTCAGCTGCAGCGTCTGGTCCTTCAGACTGCGCGAATGCGCTCACCATTGATGCATAGCGCGACACCCAATCGCTCCACATAGTGATTCTGAGGGGCCAATGAAAAAGGGGTCGTGTGAGCGAGCCTTGTAAACTGAGCTTTAGCTGGTGTCACCTTGTTGGCGATATAAAAGCTCACTTGCAGGATGTACAGCATGAGCTTGGCATTGGCAATGCTGGTTGGGTTGCGTGACCGATGATCAAAGTTGATCAGAAGGGCCAACTGTTCGATGCCAGGAGGCATCAGATCCACGCTGCGCTCCAAGATCCACACGGCAAACTGCATCTGTCTAGGCGTTTCCTGCGCGTGGGGAGAGTGCGAGGCCGCAAGCAGAGTGAGCCTAGATCCCCGCACGTTGTTGCTCCCCCCCGCACCCACCTTTGTGTCGTTCCTGTGAGGATGCATATAGTGCAGCGGTCTCGCATTGTTATCGTATCCCAGCACCGTCTCCTTTCCGCTCTTGGCCTCGTGCGCCATCTCATCCGGATCCAGCTTGTCCACACCAAACTCTCTCCTCCAAGCGATCGTCTCTGTCAGCCTCTTTTGCGCTTGCGACACGTCCCACTTTGTTGCGCGAAGATACCTCAGCATGCTCTCCCTGCTCAACAGTCTCAACTTTTCCCACTCCGTTGCGGGCTGCTTGGCTGCTCCGGTCGCGAGCGAGATGGGGTATTGCGTAACGTCTTGCTTAAAGTAGCGCAGCATCTTGTCGTACGCTTCGGATTGCGCCGTGGTGAGAGGTGCGGGGGGAGTGGGTCTGCATCCAGGTGCGGGAACGGGAAAGACGCCGGTGAATCCGTTGAGCTGCACATTCTCTGCCTTCTTTTGCGCCTCTGATGATTGCTGCTGCGATTGCCCATTCAACGTTCCCAAGGTGGCCACGCTAGCAACGCTGGCTGCTCGGCCAGCTGCTCCCCACACTCCGCTGCGAATCCGAGCAACGCGCCCCTTGTCCGCTCCCGTCGATGCAGATGCCTTGGAGAGCACAGAGGGACGTGAAGCCTCTCGATCAAGGGCTGGCAGCGACATCTTGGGAGCACACTGAGGGGTCCAGAGGGAGAGGATTGTCTACTCTCGATGTGGTGCCAAATCGCTAGCTGGATGTATGCGTGGCTGCGAACCTCAAAAGCTGTGGTCGAGGTGGTGGTGGGGGTGATGTGTCGGGTGAAGGGAACGCTGGGAGGGTACGCAGGCCTGGTACTCACGACTGCTGTAAGCTGCCTGATCACGATCGAGTCCTGAGAGTGATCGCTGATGGGACGTTGCACGCTTTGGCGCGCGCGCACCCGCCTCTCAGACCCTGCTGCTGCTGGTCTTTTTGTAGGGGCAAGGTGGGCCGCCTGTCTGACTGCAGCACATCGGCGTTTTTTGCATGAACTCAGACATCATCAGCGCGGGGGCGGAGAATGCCTGCCTGCCTGCCTGCCTGCCTGCCTGCCTGCCTGCCTTCCCTGATCCTTTTAAGCTCGTTGCATGCCTGCGCGCACGATGACATGGGCGGCAGTCACAGTCGCTATTGGATGTGAGTCGTGAGTCTGTGGCGCGCCGCGGGAAGATGCTGTGAATATCGATCGGGTGCTTAGCTCCGGCAAGCTTGCTTACCGAGCGGCATGCACTTGGCCTGCATGTCATTGCGCTAAAGGTGAATTGATTCGCGCGGTGACAGCTTTCGCGCTAGGCAAGTCCAAGCCAGCAGCAGCGTAAAGTCACTCATGACTCACTCACGCAGCAACGGGACCTCAACAATCACCAGTCGATCCACGCCGAGTTCCGCCGGCGCTTGTGCGCCGTACAATGCGGCTGCTTGCTCCCGTCACGCGCGCGCGCGCGGGGAACGGGGACGATCCAGCAGCTGCTCTCATTTCAATTCACCATTCGTGTCTCCATCACGGAGATCCGACCCCAGGCTTACGTTGTGCGTGGAACTCATTTGGTGTTTCTCCCTCTCTCTCTCCGTGCGGGAGAAGGACTCCGTTGCGGGTACAGTGCACGTCGTGCTTGGCGGTACCACGCTGCGTAAAGGTATACCTGCTGCATACCCATGCCAAGCCCACCTCTCTCTGACCACGGGGAAGTAAGTGCGAGTGTGGAGTACAGTCAACAGTCAACGGTAACGGGCTTGGAATTGCGCAGACAAACTCACACGCGCTCATCCATCATTCCTCGCTAAATCCGAGCTTGAGCCGCTAATTCTCGGCCGCGATCATTGGAGATTTGCTTCCCTGCGCAGCTCCAGGCGGGTCTTTCATGCCCCCCTGTTCTAGTAGGCGAGCCATAGCCGACCCTGTCGCTCAACTTCACCGCACTCGCGCAGCTGATCTGATCTGAACGGCTCGCGCGCAAAAGCACAAAGGCACTTTTGACTCTCGAATCTTGACGCGCTAGGACCGTCGGTGCGTCGCTCGCTGCATGATATATGCGCGTGCGCATGCTGCCGCGTCATCCCGCGGACCTTTCGCTGAGCCGCGGATCATGACCTAATTCACGATTCACGATTCTCGCATCACGTGTTGCGCGTGCGTGCATGCATGCGTCACACGATCTGATGCTGCATGCAGACCACCAGGCGTGTGGTCGAGAATGTTCTGAGCGCGCCGCGTGCGACGATTCCAATTCCTATGCCTTCTTCGCGAGCGCGCGAGGGACTTCCAGAAGCTTTTTTTGTATTGCGCGCGCGAATGTCGCTCGCTGCAGCTGCTGTGCGCACAGACGCTTCAAGAAATCTGCTGCGAGCGAGCGCGTGCGTGCGTGCGTGCGTGCGTGCGTGCTTGCTGCTGGCTCCACAACATCTTCGAGTCTGATGAGTCGAGTCTCAGTGTAGAGCCTGCCAGTTCTGCACAGTGTGAGTTCCAAGGTTCAAAGCTCAGCCATCATTCCCACTCACGACCACCCCGCATACAAGCTGACTGTCATCGAGGACACACTCACATATACGAAGCCTTCGATCACGCAAAGCGCACCGCACTGCTACACGCCGCAACCAATCACTTTCGCAGCAACGCATCTAGGCCTCAAGGCACCAAGTACCACCATCACCATGGCTCCCATCGCACCCCCCGTCTTTTGGGCTCAGCGTTCTTCAGAGTCGGAACCCGAAAAAGTGAGTCGGTAGTGCCTATCGCTCGAGCACGAACCCGCGCTCCGACGGCCCTCATGCCCCCCCTTTTTCTTTTCCTTCATTCAGAACCTCATCCTCCTGACCATCGAGGCACCAAACCTTCCGCCCAAGCCTGCGACAAAGGTGGACCTGCAAACTGACGGCTTTGCTTTTGAGAGCAAGGTTCAGGGCGATAAGGCCAAGAGCATCGAAGAGAAGGAGTACAAGTTCGATCTCAAGCTGTTTGGCGAGATTGTGCCAGAGGTGAGTTTGCTGAGCGCGGTACGACGAGCTCGTTAGCGCACATCATCGTGGGGCAATGCCGGAGCAGCATAGTTTGAAGCGCATGATGCACATCGGACCGATTCGCCGATGAATGTGTTGGGGGGTGCGTGGAACGCCGAGCTGACTTTTGATCTCCTTCCTTGCTCGCATCATAGGAGAGTCAAATCGTTCAAACAGACAAGCACCTCTTTCTCAAATTGAGAAAGAAGGAGCATCAGCTGGAGTACTGGCCCAGATTGTCCAAGGACAAGGTGCGCTTGCACAATGTCAAGACCGATTTCGAAAAGGTGAGCTGCATAGCTGCGTCTCATGTCAGAAATGCGAGGAACACTGTTGCGCTCGCATGGCCGGGCGCACACATGCTCACACAAAGTGTTTTCTTGCATCACGCTTCAGTGGGTGGACGAGGATGAGCAGGATGGTGGAGAGGACCTGGATGCGTTGGGCGGAGCTGGAGGTATGGGCGGATTAGACCCTTCCATGATGGGCGGCATGGGCGGCATGCCTGGTATGGGAGGAATGGGAGGAATGGGAGGCATGGGAGGTGGAGATGGCGGAATGGGCGGCATGGACCTTCAAGGTGCGTGAAATCTGCGAAAAGACCTGAACCGGCGCGCACAATGCCAGAAAGCTGACGTGCCCCTTTTCATGCCCCGTCTTTGCACTGCCATAGCTCTCATGGCGCAAATGCAGCAAGGCGGAGGCGCTGGAGGGATGCCAGACTTTGGTGCTGGCGATGACGACGACGACGAGGAGGGGGGCGACGATGAAGGTGCGGATGCAGATGCGCCCGCGTCCACTGAAGAGGCCAAGTCAATCGACAAGGTGGACTAATTGCAGGACCACAAAATGCAAACGCCAAATGAAGCGGAGCTCCTTGCATTCAGACGGCTGTACAGTCACCACTACAGTTGAGCAGACGCAATCACCACGTGGTCCTTCTCTCCTGCGTGTCCCCGCGGTGTTAGCGAATTACGATTTGGTATAGATTGCAAGAACATGCTGAGTACGAACGGGGGCAAAGATACGGATCCGCTTCGCGTCATCTCCACCTCTCCACGAGGTTCAAGCCCTCGTCCAAACCAAGACCTTTGGCCAGCTGCTCGACACCATTCGCGACCTCTTCATGCGGATGTCTGTGGTCCTTGTCTTCTCCTCCCGCTCTGATCAGCTTGAGCACATTGGCGCTGAGCGTCAACAGCATCACTATGCCCCCGTAGATGGCCAGTGCTTGAGCGGGCCGCCTCCACTTGTCTGTGCGAGGATGCAAGCTGGAGTAGAGAATGCCCGGTAGGATAAAGGAGATTGTGGTGCTTCCTATGGCTCCTACAAATCCCAGAATCAGACCCACTTGAGTTGCGTGAGGGGCAAATGTCAGTCATCATCTGCCTGGGGCAAATCACAGTGTGATACGACTTGCACACTCACAGTCATCGATGAGCATAGCAATGACAAACGTCGAAGCGAGAATAAAGGCAGTCAAGATGCACCACCTTTCCAGGCTCATCTCTTCGTCATCTATTGGCAGAGCAACGCCTGTCGCCTCGGCTCCAGCTCCTCCTTCGCTCCTTCGACGACCCGTGGGAATAGGCAGCAACGGATCGGCACCTGCTCGGGTCAACAGCAATGCTCGCCTCGCTTCTTCCTCTTCTTGCATCTCTTCCTCATCATCGGACTCGCCAGCGTCGCATATTTGCTCGGCAGTCTGAGCTGCGCGGTTGTGCGCCTTTGGCCTCGGTGCCGCCGAGGGCTCGTCGTCGGTGTACCGCGAAGCATCTTGAGGGCTATCATCGCCTATGCTGAGATCGGCAACGTGCGCATCGGCCGGGCGTGAGTCTGTGTTGATCTGAGCTCCATCGCTAGGAGCTAGAACCTTGTCCAAGGCAGCTCTGCAAGGATGCACCTGCAATGGATAGCTAAAGGCGACGAGCACAACGATGGCTATGCGAGCAAATGCCACTAGCGTCGAGCTGGACGGGTACATGGCAATGATGTTGCTCGAGACCAGAGAGCCGAATGTCGTGTAGCCGAGGATAGCGACGATCTGGCGGAGATGCATGGCAAGGGCGCGCCACAGTCACAAGTGAGCGAGCGGTACTTGCCGGGTATCATGTGATCGCCAAGGAACTCACCATATAGACACCTGCAGCGGCTCCTAGACTGGTATAGATGCTGATCCGCATTCGCTCAAAGTGTCTTTCCGGAGTAGACTTCAGCTCGTTGAAGACTGGCAAACAGTTTTGAGCGCATGTAAAAGCTGCGCGCACACCAAGCAGAGCCGTGATCGCAACGTGAGCAGAGCAAGCCGGGTGGGACGTGCGCCTCGAATGCAATCCTGCAGCGCTCACCAAACACAAAGACGGGAAATACGCTGACAAAGTGATTGGCATCGCTCAGGACGATCCAGTGCACTTCACCGCGGGGAGGTAAGCTGGACCTGTAGCTTGGAAGTACTGAGTAGAGCACGACGATGAGGACTAGGTATAGAACGGCTACCAGGCTGCCGAGGAAAACCGAAGAGGATGGATGAATCAGATTGAATAAAATTGATTTCGCATCGCTACTCACGAAAGGTAGGAGGTATGCCGCAAAGAGTCTAGCCGCCTCAAGAAGCAGAGCGGGACTGTGTACGCCCGCGGGAGATTAAGCGTCCGTCAAGCTGAGCATCGACGCGCGCATTGCCAAACCGCGCAAGATGCCCGCTTTACTCACCCAAGCCGGCCATGCCAGCTGCGATCCACGTACCGCGCGCCAAAGTCCACAGCGGCAGATCCTCGATCGAGCCTCCGCCCAGCTTGGCCATCGACAGCACGACTTGGGGCATGAGCTGGCCGATGATGATGAGATAGGAGATGGACACTCCGAAGCACTGTCGCATTGGTGAGCATCGCCTCAGCGACTGTATGCGAGGCGCTGGCTGCTCGAAGGACCATCTGGTAGGCTCACCTTGACGGCAATGGCCGCATCGAACCATCGCGCTCCCCTGGGCACAGTAGCCTTGGCCACGCTAAAGAAGCTCTGCTTCCTGCCTCCCATCGTCCTGGCGCAGGCGCATACAAGCAGCAAGCCAGCAGCGGACATTGCACCGCACAATAGGACTAGAAAGATGCCCGGTAGCAGACCTACGTACTTGAACGCGCCCGGAGTGGCTAGCATGCCAGTGCCCAGCACCGTGTTGGCTAGATTGGCAGTAGAGGAGAGCAGAGAGGCTTGACCCGACTTGTGCCGGCTTCGTGAGCGAGATCGTGGGTGGGAATGCGAAGGTGTGCTTGGTGGGCCAGATGGCGTCACAGGAGCTGATATTGAAGGCATTGTAACAGACGTGGGTCTCGCGTGTGGAGCGAGCAAGTGACGGGTCTGAGGAGCCAAGTAGTAGGGCGTGCGTTGGAAGTGCGATCGAGAGCGGCGATTGGAGGTGGCAGCACGAGTCGTGGAGCTCCAGAGGGTTAGGAGGTGGAGAGCACAAAGAGGGCTGCTGATCTGGCTAATGCGAAGTTTGAGCAAGCATGCCAAAGGAATGACGTTTGAGCTTCGAGAATCCAGCGCAGCCTGGGAAGGGGCTCGTGTGCGAGAAGAGGAGCGTGCTTGTGACTGTGCGCGCGGGCAAGTACCCTACCTTATGCGATCCTATGCTGCGATCCGAGACTTCCAACAAGAAGAAATTGGCCGGTAAATGGGTTGACGTCAGGGCAAAGGATTACAGGTGGCAAGCTTGACCGCAGTTGCGAGTTGTGAGTGCAGGGAACGGATGATCGGCCGGAGCGCGTTGTGCCTGATGTTCACTGAATCAGAACAGATGATTGATTGCGTTGCATGCAGCAGCAGCAGCAGCAGCAGCAGCGTGGGGTGGTGGAGCATATCGACATCGGCATCGCCATGCATCATCATCTCTCATTATGCAGCACCGCGCCCAGCATGCACCCGCGCCGTCCTGTCACTGTGACTCTGCCTGTTTGCCTGGCCGTCCATTTTTGTTGAGCACGTGACCTTGCGCGCCGCCTCACGCAGGCGATAGCCAAAACAGAGTCACGAGTCACAAGTCACAGTCAAGAGTCGTGAATGCAGCACGTCAAAAAGTCACATCACTGCGCCCCCTCTCACTCACTCCATCACAACAGAATCGGATCAGGCAACAGCGGCATCTTTCTCTCAGCTCCACACCCACACCCACGCAGAACGCTACCTCTCACCAGAGACGAGAGGAGGTCCAGACAAACAAGCAAGCGAATTCCATCGGCCAGGCCGCAGTCCATACATCGTTGGCCTCGCATCATCGAGAAGGAGAAGCAGAGCACGCGTGCTTTCGACCTGCAAGCTAGCTAGCTGGACAAGATGGGTATCGTCGAAAAGATTGCCGAGATCGAGGCCGAAATGTGAGCCCCTTTGCGATGGGGAGGTTTTTGGGCAAGATTGGAGCATTGTGCGCGGAGCGTACGCAAGATGCATGCACCTGAATGGTGTGCCTTGCGATACCGTCTGCATGCTCATCCACGCTGACGTACCTCTCCAACTCGTCATTGCAGGGCTCGGACTCAGAAGAACAAGGTGCGATGGCGGTCCCGTAGCGAATGTATGCGCGAAATCTATCAGACGTGGTGCTGACTTGCAGAGCTCGCCGCGATTCTGCAGGCGACAGAGTACCACATAGGTCTCTTGCGAGCCAAGGTGTCCAAGTTGCGGGTGCAGCTGCTCGAGCCGGAAAAGACGAGTGCAAAGGGCGAAGGTTTTGATGTTCAGAAGCGAGGATCAGCGCGGGTAGCGCTGATTGGCTTTCCTTCGGTGGGCAAGAGTACCCTGCTGAGCACCATCACGCGCACAGAGAGCGCTACGGCTGCCTACGAATACACCACATTGACTGCTATTCCTGGTGTGCTGGAGTATGAAGGAGCAGAGATACAATTGCTCGATCTGCCTGGTATCATCGAGGGCGCTAGTCAGGGAAGAGGAAGAGGTAGACAGGTCGTGAGCGTCGCAAAGACTGCCGACCTTATCCTTGTGAGTGTTGCGCCGGTCTGTTTTGCTAGCAAGTATGTGCGACAGCACGGCAAGGGGCCGCCGGCGGGGCTGCCAAGGCATCGCTAGATGCTCAACATTGCTTTTCGTCTATCTCAGATTATGATGGACGCGACAAAGTCGGAGCAGCAGAGGGTTTTGTTGGAGAAGGAATTGGAAGACGTGGGCATTCGATTGAATAAGAAGCCACCTGATGGTGAGTGGAGGCGGCTAGGAAAGCCTGGTCGATAGCAGTTGAACATCCGCTTCTCTTCGCTACCACACCCCTCCAGTCATCTTGAAGCGCAAACAAGCTGGTGGAATCGTAGTTTCGAAAGCTATGGGCTTGACATTGACAAAGATTGACGAAAAGATGATCAGGACGATTCTTGCGGTGAGCTCCACACGTCGCAGTCAGCTTTCCATGGCGGCTTACACATCTTGATTGCACATCATGCTCAGGGCTACAAGATGCACGTGAGTGCCCTTTCGCCGGAGCGGGGCTGCATTGGTAGAGGGCGCACTTCTGACGCATGCTTTGTAGAACACCGACGTGCTTCTGCGAGAAGACATTACCGTGGATCAATTCATCGACGTCGTCCTGGGTACAAGAAAGTACACGCCTTGCTTGTACGTCTACAACAAGATCGACAGTATATCCATGGAGGAGATGGACAAATTAGCTAGGAGACCTCACTCTATCGTCGTCTCGTGCGAGTTGAGACTGAACCTGGAAAGATTGAAGGATCGGATATGGGTGAGCAGGCGTCGAGCTGCGCCAAGTCGAGAAGCGCCGCAATGCTCATTCGACCGAGCTGTTCTGGACCGCGCGCAGAATGAGATGAATCTTTTGCGCGTGTACACGAGAAAGAGGGGAGAACATCCAGATTTGGAAGATCCGGTCATCGTGCGAGCTGGCGGGACGATCGAAGATGTGGTGCGTCGACGAGACGAGACAAGGGAGAGGGGGGGGGAAGGGCATTGTCCCGCTCGGCCTTCTCTGAGCGCTGATTCTGGTGCGCCAATTACACAACCAGTGCAACTCCATCCACAAATCCCTCGTCGAGAAATTCAGCTATGCGACGGTTTGGGGTAAATCGAGCAAGTGCGTCGAGGTCCCCCCCTGGCCTTGCTAGCCTTCCACGGAAACCTTTTAATCAGTCGGCTCATCGTACTTTTGCCCCCGCCTGATTTGTCACCGCGATGCAGATTCTTACAGGGGCAAAAAGTAGGCATCAGTCATGCCATTTCGGATGGGGACGTCGTCACCTTATTCATGAGTAAGTGGCAACGCAATCGCTTGTTGTATGGCCTTGCTCCCCCCCGCGCAACGTCGGAGCAAGTGCTGAAACTGCGCAACCTTCGAATCGGTCTCTCCATCTTTGTTGCAACGAATGCCCCATCTCTAGAATAATGCATGACATTCAACGCACCTGCTCGCAACGGCAGCGGAAGCGTAGCCAAGTGATCGATCTAGCTCGACGTGTCGAGCGAATGCGCTTACGTCGAGTCGAGCGTGCGTGCTGAGCTGGGTGAGGTGAAGAGTGATGAGCTTGGTCTGACTATTCCAACCTTGTGGGGGTTAGCAGAGCGTGCTCAAGAGGGAGACGCGACGCGTGTTTCTTTCGAACACTTTTTCACAATGCGCTCGAGAGTGAGCAAGGGACAGCTAGGCGATAGCACCTTGGCCCCGTGCGGACGGCCGATTTGGGCCTCCGTACGCCTATTGCAAAGCGCCTTTTTCGGCTGTCTGGGCCACAATTCAAGTGTGATGCGTCCTCATCACCACCAGCAGCAAGTCGAGTGGGGAAACGGGGCGGCACACGCGATCGGATCTGCGCAAAAAGAAACTTCTCATGCATAGGCGACGAATCGAGTTTTGCAAAAAGGACTAGCGCAAGCCTTGCTTTTTCGCGCACATCAAAACCCCTTTTTGCGGCCACCTTGCGCTTTCCTGTAACCCGTACCTCTTCCTCCGCGCGTAGCAGCCGTTCCTCGAGTCTTGTGCGCTCTAGAGCTGTTCGTGTCCTGCTTTTTCCCTTGCTCCAGCTCAGAGACGTGTGCGTGTGCAGCGGTGATGGGCTCTTTGGGATGGGAGAGGTGCGGCATTTTTGCATTTGCGCGGTGTGCTGGGATGGGCGACGAAGGAGTGATGAGGACGTTTTGCTGCATCGATGAGCCATGCGAGGTTCCTGCCGCATCCTCATCCTCATCCTCATCATCATCATTCCTCACCCTCGCGCGTTTGCTCGGCGATTGTTCCCCCGCTGCTGCTGCTTGCTTCTGCCAAGGTCGAGGCATCATCGCATCTTCAGGCGAGCGCGAGGGCGAGCGCGAAGGAGCTTCGAAGGAATCTGTGGGACTGTGACTGTGACTGCGCGCGTGCACAGCTTTGCGCATCGTGGGAGATTCGACTTCTTCAGAAGAGGCGGCAAGATCCGCAGTCCCATCCTCTTCGCTCTCCGTCGCGCTGCTGCTGTCGCCTTTGGACTTTGGTAGCTTTGCATTGCGCTTGACAGCCACAGCAGGCGTATCTGGCGGCTCGGGACTCTGGACATGCGGCAAAGAAGCTTCCTCTTCCTCTTCGAAGCCGTCCGAGTCGATCTTCTTGCCACGCGATGACCGAAGAGGTACTTTTTCTTCTTTCCGCATCACCATCGTCCTGCTGGCTCGAGCAGCAAATGGACTCTTCGGTGATCGCTTGATGGAAGGTCCGGCACTCGGATCCGGATCCGGATCCGCTTCTTGCCTTGCCATTGCCATTGCGCCGTATCCTGTTGTACTGAAGGGAGAACTGCTAAGCTCTTCCTTCTTCACTTTGGTAGGCCTGGCCCGTAAGGCAACTTTTGCGCTCTCCACCTCGAATCCGTCAGAATCCGCATCTGCGTGATCTAGAGTTGGGGACAAATCTTCAGCTTGATGGCTCGACGACTGCTTCAGCGACGAGTGTTTGCCAAGTGAAGAAGCGATGGTGGGTGAGGTGGCAGTTGCGACAGCTTTCTCATCCTCCTCCTCCTCCTCCTCTTTAGCGGGATGAGCATGTCTGCTGCCATTCCGCCGAGTGGCTCGCAATGAGACGAGCGCCAATGCGTTTGCTAGATTTGTCGCATCGCTTTCCTCCTCTGAGCCTGCGCTTTCGAGGGCAGCAGCAGCGCGTAGGAGGGGTAGTAGCAGATGGTGCTGATACACCTGAGCAGCTTCGGAGCTGCTCAAGGCGCTCAGCTCAAATACAAAGGAGAAACTCAGAGTGGGCGCATCGTGCCGGATCGTGATTTGCGACTTGATGCACCAGGAGTTGCGGACGGTCAGTGTGCGGGGGTGGGTGGGAGGTGAGGTGACTGGATCGAGCCTCCGCTTAGCCAAACGCTCGCTCGCTCGCTCACCTCTGTCTTTCCGTACTCGCACTCGATGCTTGCTGCTTCGACCTGACCGCTCAAAAGCTTCTGCAGCAAGTCGACTCTCCAATTCCAGTCTCTCTCTTCCTGCCGCTGCTGCTCCAAGTGCGACTGCGACTGCGACTGCGATGATGCTGCCGCGCGCGTGTGTGCTTGCGTCTGTGCCTCTTGACCGCTAGCTTTTGTGCGACGAGCAGATGAGCGGCTGGATAGACCTTCGAAATGGGCGCTGCTTGGTGTCATGGGTTGTAGAAGCAGACAAAATGTGCGAGAGGGAGCATGCGAATAGAATTTCTGCGGCGCGAGTGCAGTGGGCTTATCAGCTAGCTCTCTGAGGGAGGGAGGGGCCGTGTGGGGGAAAGCCAGACTGACGCAGATAAAGGGCTGGCCGCGCAGAGCGTACCAGGGTGCACGCAACATCTTGTTGGATAGCGCCTGCAGCGAGGGAGGGAGCGTTGCATCAGCAGATCAGCGCGCGTGCAATTGAATGGTGAATGCGAGTGTGAGTGTGGACAATGAATGCTGTGCGCGTTTCGCTGCTGGTCTGTCAGCGCTTGTTGTCCCCGCGGCTCCCGCTCACATTGTTCCACTCCAAGCAAGTGCCTGACGCTGAAGCAGACATGACGTATCAAGCTGCTGCTGCTTCTCCCTTCTGCGCAAAGACTCTTCACTCAGACTCCTCCTTCGTTCGCCCCTACGTCCACGTCCACATTCACGTCTTTGTTCTTGATCTTTGCGCGTGTGATGAGTAGCGGTAGAGGGTGGAGAGGAGGCAAGAATCGCAGAGCTCTCACGCGCGCGCGAGTTGCGAGTTGCGAGGGAAGGCGGGCGCATGCACTCGCGTGTGTGTGTGTGTGTGTGTGTGTGTGGAGGTGGATGATGTGAGCGCGCGCGCGGGTTCGACTTTTTGCACTTCTCTGCTGCTGCTGCTGCTCATCTGCTCATCTGCTCATCCCTCCTCCTCTCCCTCACCCTCGCCCTCCTCCTCCTCTCCTTCTTCGCCATGTCGAGCAGCAGCAAAACGGACGCTCCATTCTTCCCCTCCCCTTCCGACGCCTTCATTGACGCTTTCAGATCTTATCGTATTCAAGCGGGCGACGATGCATCTTTATTGCCCAATCCTTTGCCATTCTCCTCACGAGCACGCTCAAGAGCAGGAGCAGGAGCAGGAGCAGGAGCAGGAGGTGGGCATGCAGCGGGCAAGAGTGGAGGAGCAGGGGCAGCAGGAGATGCATCACCCGGCGGCTTCTTGCTGGATGAGGTGGAGCAGGAGCAGGAGCAGGAGCAGGAGCAGGAGCAAGTTGCAGCAGCAGCGGCGGGTGGATTCTTGGTTGAGCATGACACCTCGTACATCTCCGAGGCGCGTGCGGGTGCGGGTGCGGGTGCGGGTGCGGGTGCTCGCATTCCAGTGAGCGTCAGCGCTGTACCTCCGCCCATCTACCTGCCGCTCTCTTACATTCCTCAAGCTCTAGCCACGCTAGGCCTGTCGCATTCGGATGATCAAGTGTTGCATCTGTTCCAACAGACGGCTCAACGCGTGCCTGTTTCTGCAACGGCAAGGAGGAGGAGAGGAGAGGCGATGCGGGTGGAGGAAATGGTGGTGCATAGGCATCAGTTTGAGCAGGTCGTCGGTGTGCTTTTAGAGCAGCAACGGCAGCGGGGGCGTGAACGTTCTGGTCAAGGAGAATATCAGGAGGGTAAAGAGGCGTCGCAGGAGGAGGAGGAGGCGTCGCAGGAGGAGGAGGAGGCGTCGCAGGAGCGTCGCCAGCCTGTTGCAGAGTCGGCGTCTTTCTCTGCATCAGCAGCAGCAGCAAGACGTAGCAGGAGAGCGAGACCTTCTCGTTCGGCCATGTACGAAGCGCAAGCTTCTTCAGGCTCTGATGAATCGGACGGCGAGAGGTACAAGCAGAGCGAAGAGGAGGAGGAGGAGGAGGATGAGGAGCAAGGAGAGGGGAGCGACGACGAGTCTTTTGCGGGCAAGAAGCGTGGTCGAGGGGCAGGCAAAAGAATGAAGGATGGCGCCAAGAGCAGAGCGGGTAGAGAAGGAGGTGCAAATGGCAAGGGCAAGGGCAAAGCGGCAAGATCAAGCACGCAGCAACAGCAGCAACCACATGACCGAGATGCGCAAGAAAATGCAGAGGTGGAGCTGCTGAATGAAGATCAGAGGGAATTCGTATCGGCTGCGTGGGAACTCTTGGTGCAGAGGTTGCCTGTCGCGACGAGGAGGCAGTCGTCTCATGGAACAAGAGACGTGCGCATCAATGTCGAGCTGCTCGCGTCCATCATCAAGGGCTTGGGAGAAAAGATGGGCGAAACAGAGGTGAGCTTTTGCGTGGCGGGGAGGGGAGGGGGGCACTTGTCCCTTGTCCATCATGATGGCATGTAGGCGAGATGAGATTTGGGCGCGCAGCAAGTTCCAGACGCCGATGGGTCCGTCTAATATGACCGTGGAGTCCCGCATCTGACCCCCCTTCTTGCCTTTTGCATTCCTCACTCCCCCCGCCGTGCACCCCCCACGCAACACAGATCGAAGAGATGATCTCTGAAGGCTCGCTATTGTGGGCTTCGTGCACCGGTCATGCACGACCCAAGACGAACAGCGAGGGTAGGGACAGCGTAGGCATAGACGAGTGAGTGTGCAAAACTTGGCTCCCAAGCCTCTACATTTGCGCTTAGCTTGGCTGCGCATCGTCATACCATCTCGCACGCTGAGCCCCCACTCTCTTGACGCGCCAGATTCGCAGGTATACTGCTCAAAGCTCGCGTCATATGAGTGTGAAAATGGCGTGGGCATTGCAAAGCTGGAGCGAGATGCCGATTTCACGATGCGTCGTCGACGGCGCAGATCTTGTGATCCCATCGGTCCTCGCTGCTGGTTGGTTCGCTCGCGCTAGTCCCCATCCTCCAGCTCCTGCTCCTCCTCCTTGGCCCGTCTATCCTCCTCCTCCGCCAACGACACATCCTTCAGCATGCTCTCCAATTCCGGCGTAACGACGAATTTGCGATGCAGCTCGCCCAGCGTCACTGCGCTCTCCTTGGCCGCATCCAGCACCATGACGTGCTGCAAAAAGGTGCTCTGACTTCCTCCCGTCACCTCCATCACCACCTTTCCATACCTGAACATGACGCGTCCATCCTTGTACACATCCAACTTTCCCGCTTGTCCCTCGACCATTCCCCTTGCATTGCCCGATCCATTCACCCGCCTACCTTTATCCTCCTCAGAATCGCCATTCAGTCCGTTGGACGTGCTGCCGCCCTTTTCCTTCTTGATCTCCTTGTCCCCTCCATCCGCAAAAGAGACTGCTCGCTTCGTCTTGCTCGCGTTCGCGCTCAAAGGACCGTGCGTCGTTGCGCCGCTCGTCTCCTCGTCCGCGCCCGCGCCCGAAGCAGGCACAAAGGCTGGCAAGAGGGTGGGAAATTGAAAGAGGTACAGACGATTTTCGGGACCCTGTATCATTTGAGCAGGGCAAAGAGAGTCAGGAAATCGTGCCAAAGAAATCAGCTCAGCGGCACGCAACGTCCCGAAAGTGCCCCACCCACTGGCGATGAAACGCATTTAGGATGCGCGCGCTGCTCGCGCTGCTCGCACGCTTGCTCCCACTCACATCGCCTTCGTCCATATCGTCCAGAGGCAGAAAATCGTCTAGCAGATCGTCTGGAGTCTCTTCGTCCTCGCTGGCGCTGAGATCCAGAGCATTAGCAGCCGCCGTCTCGTCCTCCTCCTCCTCTACACGCGCCGAATCTTCCGCAGCAGCCTTGGCCGCCTCCGCCTCTTCATCTGCAGGATCAGGTTTGATGCCGAGGGATCCGCCAGATGCTGGCGTAGACGTGCCGCTACCCATCTCCTCATCTCCGCCTGCCCCTGCCGCTCCTTTGACATTCTTGCTCCCCTTGCCGTCGCTGGTCTTCGACTCGTCCGCCTTTTCCCGCTTAGCCTTCTCCTCCCTCTTCTTGGCCAACCTCTTTGCCCTCTCTTCCTTTTCCTTCATCCTGGGTAGCGCTCTAGGGGCCGAAGAGTCCAACGAGTGAACCTCGTCCATATCTATGATCTCCACTCCTCCATCCTCAGCATCGCTATACTCTTCCCTATCCTTCAGCTGGTCCGGATCTCTGTACCTTTGAGACCCCTCCGATTTCAATCCTTGGCCCGGCGCAGTTCCGCTCGATCCTGCTCCCGCTCCTGCTCCAAACGAATAACCGCTGGAGACCGGACGTCTGTTGGATGATGATCTGCCGATCGCGCCCGTACCCAGTGCAAAAGGCCCAGTGGCTACCATTTCGGGAGGAACGAAGCGAGGTGCGGATCCGCCAGGTCCGCCTCGCCCTCTTCCGCGACCACCACCACCGCCTCCTCCTCCACCACCTCCTCCCCCTACTCGACCCGAGGCGTACCCTGTTCCTCCTCGTCCTCGTCCTCGACCGAATGAAGGCCCTCCAGTATTCGAGCCGGACGAAGAAGCTTCCTGCAAAGGCGAACACCGGAAGAAATTTTTCAGCGCACATGCAAGCACACGCGGCTCAGTGGCACACCGAGCATATTCGGACCCACTTGTTTCACCACCGGTCTGCAGCGAGAGCAAAAACGGGCTTGGTCAGTGCCGTGCCATTCACCCCGCTGGTGCTGCACGATGCGTCTGCGCATGTATGCTCACTCTGGGGCAGGTTTGCGCCTGACTGGCATGACTGGTTTAAAGATCATCTTTTGTCCCGACGGTGTGGGTCTCGCGCCGCTGCTGCTGCTGCTGCTGGGAGCGCCAAAGTTTCTAGGGAGAGGGACCATGCTGGCTGTGGTTGAACGAGACTGGCTAGGTGCAGGTGAGGGTGAGGTTGCAGTCGTTGTGCCTGATGATGCGCTGGCGTTGGGTGCGAGAGCGGTGGAAGAAGAGGAAGAAGAAGCGGCGCGAGTATTTGAGAGGGACACTGCTGATGCTGCTGCTGCTGCTGGTTGTGGGCTGGAAAAGGCGGGGGAAGCGGTGCGCGCATCGCTGTCGGCGTGAATGTTGATGTTGATGGCGGGAGTGGATGCAGATGCTGCGCTGCTGGAGGTCAGCTGGTCAACTTGCGCTTGAGAAGAGGAGGAGGGCGGCGGCGGCGGCGGCGGAGCATCTTGGCTTGCTGGGCCTGGAGCTGGAGCTGCTCGACGACTACGTCGGGGTGGAGGTGGCATGCTAGGTGGCGGTCTCTGCGTGATTGTTCGAGCGTGCAACGTCAGAAGGGGGCAGGTGGTGGCGGAGAAGGAAGGAAAAGGGGACGCCGTCGTTGCAACTGCTTCCACCTCTGCTGCTGTGCAGCGTGAGTGCGAATGGATCGTAAATGTCGTTGCATGATGGACGTGAAGCTGTACTTCGCGACTCGTGACTCGTGACGTTCAGGCGATGCGCGCAAATCCATGGCCGCTTGCAGGCGTGCGTGCGTGTGAGCGGGCGAGCGCTCAAAAAAAGCGCCTGTGTTCAGGAATCACGTGAACATTGAACTGTAACGGTCACGTGAGCTACAAACCCGAGAACAACAAATCTTGAATTCAAATTCTTGACTGCGCACAACTAGAAAAGATGAGTGGTTATTTGTGCTCCTTCGTCTTGGCTCCTTTCACCCATCTTCGTTGCTTTGTGTTTTTCAGTTTTTGAGTCTGTTGCTTCACTTGTGATTCTGGAGTTTTTGCGGGGTTTTGGCTTCGGCGTGTGATTATTCTAATTGTGCATCTGCATGTGTTCGTATTCTTGATTTCTTTGCATGGGCTTGGATTTCTTTTTTGGTTTTTCTCTTTCTTATCTGTCTTTGTCTTTCTGTTTTTATTTCATCTTATTTTTGTGACCACGTCTCCCATACGCGTTGGGATTTGCGGGGGGCGGCGCCCACCTGAATCACATGGAGCAGTCCTCGGGCTATGCTAGGTGGCACATCCACCACCATGCGCATGCGCCGGGAAGTGAACCCAGGGTGGCCACCAAATGGATGCATGTGCATGGAGAGGGGCCATCAGGTGCAGAATTGCAAAACGTCGGCGCCACTGAGCCGTGTAGCGCATACCGCGAGTTGGCGACACGTGCCGTTGTGACTGCTCTCTCGCGCGAGAAGAATGCGATTTTTTGGTGAATGAACGCGATTAGAATCACAATCAGCAATTAAATCAGAATCGAAAAGATGACTTGCTGCGTGCGTGCGTGCGTGCTCATCGAGGAATTTTGAATTTGAATGTCTTGAGTTGCCAGTCAATCAAATCATCCTCACACTCGCGCGACTCCCCCTCACACACACACGCACCATCACTTCATCCGATCGCACTCCATCGCGATCACATTCCCTTTGCACATTCACAAGCCAAAGAGACCATGAAAGGCGCGCCTTCCATCTCTTCTCTGCGGAGCACCCTGCTCAACGCATCCTCCACCAACCCGCTAGACGCGCGTTTTCGCGCTCTATTCACTCTCAAAGGTCTCGCCTGCTCCTCCTCCATCTCCACCTCCGACAAGAGCTCGATTCTGGAAGCCATCGGTGCAGCATTCTCCGACGATAGTGCGCTGCTCAAGCACGAAGTGGCGTATGTGCTAGGTCAGATTCAAGATGAGCAGGCCATCGCCGTGCTGATCAGCGTGCTGCAGCAGCAGGAGGAACATGCCATGGTCAGACACGAAGCGGCAGAAGCGCTTGGCGCCATCGGACATCCCAAAGCTTTGCCTGTTCTCAGGACTTATCTGCAAGACGACGAGGATGTGAGCGTGAGGGAGACGTGCGATTTGGCTATTCGCAAGATCGAGTGGGATCAGTC